CAACTCCAGGAACCCAGCCAGCTGCTTTGCTGCTCCTACCATTAGGACCAGCGTCATTAAGTGGTTCAGGAGGCAACACTTGCCCCCACCACCCTTTTACCATCTGAAGTGAGGGCAGCTCTTTGCCCATGCACTGTGCCAGCAGCTGCTCCAGTGCTCCTGGAGCCTCAGCAGCCTTGGTAGTGTGTGACTGGGTCCAGCCCTGCCACCATGGGCAGGGGGCTGCCCCCTGAGGGAGCCGTGGGCCCCAGCTCCATCCCGCACATGGCAGGAGGAGGTGAGGCTGGCAGGCACCGGGAGTGACGCTGTGAGTGAGTGATCCTGTCCCAGCACTGCCACCAGCACTGCCGAGCCCCAGCCACAGGCAGGTTTTGGCTGCCAAACTGGCCTGAACCTCTGGGCACATCTGGTGCAAAAGGCTCCCGAGGCTGCCTGGCAGGACCCAGCTTGTCCATAGGCTGCCTTCAGGGAGCCTCTGCCAGCGTCCACCACCCAGTTCCATCTCAGGGCTCCTGCCCTGAGTCCTGCCACTGCCCAGCTCTGGCCCTGCTGCCGTGGGGACTACAGGAGGGGTGTGTCTGCCACAGGGACTGTCTCTGCTCCCTGATGACCCCAGTGTCCAGCTGGCCCCACTGCCCCATGTGCCGGTGGTGCAGAACCTGTCACCGCAGGGTGAGGGGTGGCTGCGGGCAGGGGCGGCGGTGCCAGTGTTGCAGCAGCACATTCGAGGCTTTTAGCAAGGCGCCATGAATAATTTAGCTCCCCTATGCAAGGAAGAAAATCCCCTAATAGGGCTAATGGAGCGCGGTGAGAAGCCATGCACTGGGGGCCCGGCGTGGCCGCCAAGTGCTTTGGACGCCAAGCGTCGACACTCCCCTAATGCAAAACAACGCGACGGCCGCGGCTCTTATATCTGCCCCGGGGCAGCCTCGCCACCCAGAGCTGCGCTGCCGCTGAGCAGCTTCCCTGGCGCGGTGAGTCGGGGCTGGCGGCGCGGGCGGTGAGTGGGGATGGGCAGAGCAGGCGGCATGCGGGAATGGGCACTGCCACGGGGCAGCCGCTGCAGGCAGCAGGGAAGATTTTCCATGCAGGGCTACTTGGGATTTGGTGGCTTAGAGTCGTTTTCTTTCGGGGTTTGGGATCTTTCTGGCTTTAGGCAGGTTGGTGGCTGCCAACAGGTTCCCAGTTTGGCAAGCCAGGCTGGCCAGACGCCTCTCTGGGCAGCTGCCTTACCCGTCACCCACTTGTTGTGCCCCCGATGCTGCTAACAGTGCCATTGTCCTGCAGAGCCTGTGCCCTGTCCTCATTCCTGCTTCTTCCCTACCAAACAACCTCTCCCGCTTGGGCAGGGCGCGGCTTGTCCTCGGCAGCTCCTGCAGCCCCACTGCCACTCGGGATTTCTGCTCATGATGGGCTGTGAATGCTCCTGCCACCTCCACACTCTCTCTGCCATTCTGTCCCCTTGCTCTGCTGAAAATCGGGGAGGTGTCGAGATGGGGCGGCCGGTGGATTCCTTCCCTATTCCTCAGAGCAGCCCTGCCCAACCCCCTGGCTCCGCTTGCTGCATCCATTTTGCTGCTGTAGAGCAGTGGCGCAGTCAGCTCGGGCTTCTCCTTGCCACTGTCGGGCGAAGGGATCCCACCAGGCCAAGGGATCCCACTGAGATCAAGGGGATCCCACCAGGTGCCCACACCCAGCAGGAGCCACTGGTACTGCCCTGCTTAAAACTACCAGCCATGGAGAAGGGCTGGTGCCAGCAGTGCCAGCTTTGTCTCCAACTTTGAGGTGTGGCAGGAAGAGGCTAGTAAACAGGGTTTGGTTTGGCTTTGCCGCAGCTCAGGGAAATATCCCTTTTCCATGTCTCCCTGCATTCCCAAGGCCTTGCTACAGAGCAGGAGCACAGAGTGCTCTCTGGCAGCACCGGGTGTCACAGGAGACCCCCAGGATTTGGTCAGCCCGGCCAGCTGCTGCTCCGTATCCTCCGTGTTTGGAGCCTTCGGAGGTCACAGCACCAGGGAGCACTTTGGTTCCTGCTGCCATCGATGTGAACTTCCCAGGGAAAGACAAAACCACGGGTGGGAGCCTGGCTGGAGCCTAATGCCAGTGCATTCCCAGTGGCTGCTCTGGTACCCATACCACGGTTTTGGCCCTAGTCCCCCCTCCTTTCAGACACTGAGAACAAGAGACACTGCGGAGAGTGGCACAGAAATTGATGTCAGTGCCCTGCTGGTGAGGTCCCAGCCGTACAGGCGGTGAGGACTCTGGTGGGTGAGATGCCCACCCTGCAGCAGGCTATTTTCAGCAGCTGCACCAGCTGGGAGGTCGCTGTCGTGGTGGAGGGGAAGGAGTTGGCTGGCGGTGCATGTTGTGGCAGCAGGATGCAGGCATGGCGAGCACCTGGTGCCCACAGCCCCTCTGCAGATGCCCACCCTTCCTGGGGAGCCCCACAGGGACTTTCCCATCCTGACTTCTCCTGCCCACTGGTACACAGTGCCAGATTGTCACCAGCAGTAATTTTGCCACCACTTGTGACATCTTGACCAGCTCTCCACATCCCTCGCAGGGGTACAAACCACTGCAAGCTGGAGACCAGCACAGACAGGGCATGGGCCACGCTGCTGCAACGTGGCTCGGGGCAGCTGTGGTAGGCACTGCTGCCTCCTCAGCCATGGGCTGTGCCTCATTTCTGTCCTGCTCCTTCTCCCTTTGTGCTTCAGCTCCCATGTCAAGGCTTTGCTCTGCTGATGAGACTGGCTTTGCCAGGGTGCCAATGTCCCTCCCCGTGCTGCATGTCCTGGCAAGGGCAGGTGCCACCACTCCAGCAAGGCAGTATGGGCAGAACTCTTCCCTGAGTGGCAGTGGAGCCCATGTTGTGCTTTCCCAGCTCTCTCTGTAGCACCACGGAGTGGTTTGTGGTGTGGCTGGCCAGCAGAGCCCGTGCTTGGGTGGCGGGATGCTCTCCATGACCTACAGTGAGAGCCTGCGCAGCGTGGCCAGCCGACCCACTCCTGAGTGGGGGCTGCCCCCGGCCCCCCGGGCGGCCGACGGGCTGGAGCTGCGGCGGCTGCGGGACGTGCGGGCGGCAGCGCGGGCGAAGACACTGGAGGAGTTCCTGCGGATGCACGGGCTCTCCCTGGCTGACAGCACTGCCCATGCCACCGGCATGAAGTATAGGTAAGGCAGCGCCGCGAGGGCAGCGAGGGCCGAGGTGTAGAGACGGTGCAGGGGATGCTGTGTGGTGGTGGTTTGACACCTCCCTGGGAGAATGGCTCTCACCTGTGCTCGCCTCGGCTTCCCTGTGCCTCGCCAAGGCTGGGAGGAGTCGATGCTCTTGGCACGGTGGGTGATCTGGTGCTGCACGTGTTACCCAGGTGGCAGCCAGTCAGTGCTGTTAGCGCTCACCTGTTTTGTGATCTTTGAGCTTCTCACCTGACATTCCCATTTGCTGTTTGGGTGGTTGCATCTGCAAACACCTCTGTGCTTTAAAGACAAGACAGCTAGAGCAAGCAGCCACTGAAGGGCTGTCTGCTTCACAGGTGTACATCTCTATCTGAGGGGTGTACGTCTGCAATCTGACGAGTGTACATCTCCACTGGCCGGGTGTGCGTCTCCCCCTGACTGACAGCTGTGCGTCGTGTAGCGTGTGCGCCATAAATTTTGCATGTGGGTCCCAGTGCAAGGTGTATCAGGATTTCAGCCGGTATTTGTCCTTCTTTGGGAATTTGTCCTTCTTTGGGAATTTGTCCTTCTTTGGGAATTTGTCCTTATTTGCCCTTCTCTGGGCGGCCGCAGAGGCAGCCATGGCCCCTTGGAGCAACGGGGCTGCTCTGTCCAGTGCACCCCTCCCCACTCTCCCCTGGTATCACGGGTCGGGTGATGGGGTGCAGGGCCCAGCACCGCCAGTAACTCAGCTCAGGATTGGTGAGGGGCAGCAGGGCTGGGGACAATGGCTGTTCCCCCTGTGCAGGGGTGCCCCTCATGCCCCGCTGCAGTGAAGCGCCCAGGAGCTGGCAGCTGCCGTGCCGCACTGTGCCGAGCCATGCTGCACCTCAGGTCAGGTTCCCCTGCGCTGACAGTGACCGCGGTAACATTTACACAGTGGCAAGAGTGCATCAAATATTCATGGGGACGTTATTTATTGATGGGAGCTGCTGGCACAGGCACCCCCAAAGGTGCTCCTCCTTTGCCCATGTCCGCACTGCCCTCAAAAGTCTATGGGATTTCTCCTCCTCAGGAGGCTGCTGACTGCTGTCAGGTCTCCCCCCGCACCAGAGCCGGCGCCGGCGCCGGTGCTGGTAGGATTACCAGCTAAGGAGCTTTGCGGCAGAGGCAAGCGGAGGAGATTACAAGATTTCTCATTAGGTTGGAGGCGAATGTGCGTTATTTCCCAGAAGCCCCGTTCCCCCATCTTGCCCTGTCCTGAGGGGCAAGGTGGGTGCAGGCAGGTGGCACATGGCCCCAGCTGCAGGACAGTGCTGTAGCTCAGTGACTCGTGTCCCTGCTTTGGCAGAAGATGCTGGGCTGGGGTTCACCTTGCTCCGCTTGGCTTGCACTGGGCAAAATTTGGGGGATATGCTGTTGCGGCCCTGACCCCAAGGGGGACAACCAGTCTGACTTTGGCATAGAGCTGGGCTCTGCTGCGGGAGAGCCTGCAGCCTGCACCCTTGCCCGGCCGTGGGGTTGGCAGTGTACACGCAGCGCTGCCAGAGGGTTTGGTTTCAGACCTGTGCGAGGGGATGCTGTGCTGCGGTGCGTGGCCGGGGGGGAGGCAAGGAAAGACCCCTTCACCGCGTGGCCTCAGCCCCCCGCCCCGTGCCCCAAAAAAAGGGGCTGAGCCAGCAGCCGCGCCCGCGGGGGATGCCCAGCAGGGCACAGCGGGGTCCTGCCCCGCCGAGGCTCCTCGGGAGACCTGGGCGACGGCGCTGCCCTTCCTGCCCCCACCTGCCCGCGTGCCGCTCGCTCGCTTCCCGAGCTCATCAAATATTGAGGGCAGGAGGGCTGACGGGAGCTCCGCGCCCGCCGCCCCGCAGCCCCCCGCCGTCACGTTGGCGGCGCGCGGGAGGAGCTCCCGCCTCGCCCGGGGCGCCGGCTAAATTTAGGCAGCTGGCGCTGCTGCCCGGCGGAGCAGCATGCAGGTCTCCTTTGTGTGCTCCGAGCACAGCATCAAGAGCCGGAGCGCGGAGGACCGGCTGAACCGACAGAATGCCGGCAGCCCCAGCCTCGGCACCCGCGGCAAGTTCCGCGCCGTGGCCATGGTGGCCCGCAGCCTGGGGCAGCTCTCGGTGCAGAACGCCCCCTCCTCCAGCGAGTCCAGCGTCAAGCACCCGGGGATGAAATACCGGTAGGAAAAACGGGCTCTGCTGGGGCTTTGCCTGTTTCTCACCGGGATCGGGGCGCCGTGGGGGGGTATGGGGGCCCGCACTCCCCTAATTCCCGGCTCGCGACCGGCTCTGTCGTTTCTCGGCGCTAGAAGTGCTGACCGTGCGCCTCCGTGTGCTTCCTCGCTGTTTGCTCCTGTCCCTTCGGGGCAGCCTTGATCCAACCGCGCGTGAAACCTTCAGGATGGGGGGGGAGAAGGGACCCTAAAATTCAGGATAGGATTAGCAGCATCTCCAGCGCCTGCGGAGCCGGGTGGGTTTGGAAGTCACGGCAGCGTTAATCCTTATGGTGCTGCCAGAGACTTAGTACCCTGCAAAGCGAGCGCGGAACCCTAAGGTGGGATTTGGGTCTGGCTGCCCACGGTGGACCTAGAAATGAAGGGTGGTGTGTGGGGTGCCCCCATCCAGCACCCAAGGGATTGATGCACTCCACGTCCCTGGCTCTGGGGCAGAGCACTTGGGGCTTCCCCTTCCAAATCTTAGGGTGCACCCCAGGTGGGGCTGGGGCTTCCCCCAGGTGAGCATGCACCCCAGCACAGGGCAGGCCCCCCCCAAGATGAGTCTGCACGCTACAGTCCAGCTGCCAGCAGCCACGTGCCCCCACTGTAGCCCAGATGTGCCGGCTTTAGGCACAAAGCGCGTCAGAGCGCTGGGGTGAGCCCGGCTGTTCCCTACCAGCATCATCCAGGTCAGCTGAGTCCCTCACCTGGGCGCTGGGGAGGGTGCTGGGGTTGCTCCGTCCAGCTCTCCAACACCAAACCTTTGCGCTGGTTGCAGCAGCGCTGGGGCCGTGGGCAGTGGCATCCTCAGGGCTCAGCACTCCTGCCCCACTGTCACATCCCCATCCAGAGGGACCACCCTCTCCCAGGCAGTGGGTGATCAGCTCGGGGGTCCCCGCTGGTGGCTACTGAAGGGACAGTGATGCAGGGGGTTACTCCAGGTGAAGGGATGGGATAGGAAGGCCGTGGCACAGTGCAGGGGGATGCCTGGCCTTCCCAAGTTCTGCCAGTGTCTCCACTGGGCAGCTGGTCAGCACACTTCTGAGCTGGAAAACTGGGAGCAGTGATAGCCGCTTGCCCAGGAGGACCCTGGGATACCCCTGGAATGGCATTGATGGGTCCAATGCTGTCCAGTCCCCGCGGTAATCCCCGTCATCAGAGGCTTGAGCCACTGCTACCCCAGGGCCATGGCTTCTTCCTGCCACACAACGCTCTAAAAACACCACAGGGCCGGGGGAGCCCCCACACCTCCAGATGTTGGGCAATAAGACAGCAGCATGGAAGGACAGTGCCCCAACTTGGCACAACCAGTGATTCCCTGCCAGCACGGCCGGGCCGTGGCTGCTCCTTGCCCGGCTCCCGGTGCCCGTGTCGGCGGTGCCGGCGGTGGCAGTGCCTCCGGTTGCTATGCGACACCCGCGCGGGCGAGCTGCCGCGGCTCACCTACACTTTATTTATTTTAACGCTCATTTCTCGAGCCTTTGTCATTTTTAACAAGTAACTGGCTCTCCATCACTGTGGCGAAGGCGTCTGCCAGCCCGACCCCCTTTCCGAAAGCTGTTCTCCAGTTCCATGTGCTGGTCAGATTTTCTGGGGTGCTCCATTTCTCCAGGATGTTGCTCCACTCCCAAGCGCCCTTGCCCTATTGTCACCTATGCAAGTCGTGTGCTTCCCTGTGCAGCGATGCAGAGAACAGGCACAGTTCATACCATGTGTGGGATGCTTCAGTCCTGATCCACCACATGGTAGCTCCCTCTGCTTCCCGTCTCACCCTCCTGTGCCAGCAGCACTCTCAGGGCAACCAGACGCCCCAGGGTGTTATCACAGGGAACTGCTTAAACGGGGTCACTGCCTGCTGCCCCCCCGATAACCCTGCCAGGCATGGCACCACTATGCCAGTGAGCTGTGGGATGCCTGGCCTGGGATGACTCTTTAACTGGTTGCAGGGAGACCTTTTGTGGGACTGTCCCAGGTGGGGATGGGATGGGGAGCAGGGACCACCGCCACACCTCCCAGCCCCCATGCCCAGTGCATTCAGTGGCACGCAGGGTGCATGAGATGGCATTTGGGGGCTTTCTGACTCCTTTCCTGATACTCTCTGTCTTCCAGGAACCTTGGGAAGTCTGGACTGCGCGTGTCCTGCCTGGGCCTGGGTAAGTGCCAGGGTTTGCCGCAGCCCCTCGGCATCCCCCCAGTCCCGCAGCAAGTGCCGGTGCTCCCCGGCGAGGGCGGCGCTCGCCTGCCCCAGCGATGTTTGCGCAGGGAAGGAAAGGGTTTCCCTCGGCCCCGGGGCCGTTTTGAGTCACAGCCCAGAAATTGTCAAATTATTTTCTCTCTCTCTGATGCGATAGGAAGCGACTGGGCCGCGCTGGGAGCGCCGCGATGCACGCGGCCTGGCCAGCTGTGACCACCACGTGCCGGGGCTGTGCTGAGGGAGCCAGGGTGGGTGACCGGGGGCTCAGCGCGGCGGCGCTCGGTGTTCACCGCGTTCACCGTGCACGCACCCTCTCTCCCCTGCAGGGACATGGGTGACTTTCGGAGGGCAGATCACAGATGAGGTAAGGCTGTACCGTGTCTTCCTGTCCCTCCCCAGGCTTTCCCTGGTGAGTGGGGAAGGGATGGGGCCGGCACAGCTGCGGCTGTGGTCTGGGTGCACGTGGCATGCCAGAGCTCAGCAGCGCTCCGCACACGCGGCTGTGCCCCGGCTCTCAGCCACCCCCTTCGCTGACCCTGCTCTTTCCTCGCAGATGGCGGAGCAGCTGATGACTTTAGCTTATGACAACGGCATTAATCTCTTTGACACAGCAGAAGTCTACGCTGCTGGCAAGTAGGTACCCTGCTTTGGCAGTGGCACCCCACGACCCAGCCCCCTGCACCTCCAAACCATGGCAACACTGGGAATCTTGTGGGTTTGCTGGCTGCAAAGTGGCTTCTAGGACGGGGCTGTGAGTGCTTGATCAAAGTGGGGTGGTCATGGTTCTGGCAGCCCCATGCTTCCTGTGGTGGCCTGTGCCATGCAGGCACAGCCGTGCACCTTACCAGCACAGTGAGCAGTGGCTGTGCCCAAGGCACACTGGCCTGGGGCATCACTGTTTGTCCATGCATTTGTTTAAAATTAATGAGCTTGCACATCAGGGGTCAGCTCTGCTCTGGACGCCAAAACCAAGGGGCAGACAGTGTCCCCAATGGCAGCTGATGTCCCCTTCCCTTGCAGGGCCGAGGTGGTGCTGGGGAACATCATCAAGAAAAAAGGGTGGAGGTAAGCTGGACATCATCCCCGTTCCGCAAAGCCGTCACCACAGACCTGGTGGCCTGGGGAAAGCTGGCAGAGCAGCCCTGGGCAGGAATGCATGTGGGCAGGGTGCGCAGGTGCCACCACCAGTGACTCTCTCTTTCTCCCTGCAGACGGTCCAGCCTGGTCATCACCACCAAAATCTTCTGGGGAGGAAAGTAGGTAACACCCACCCTGCGACAGATGGGCTGGCACGGGCCAGGCTCTCACTCACCTTTCCTTTTTCAGGGCTGAGACAGAGAGGGGCCTGTCCCGAAAACACATCATAGAAGGTAGGCAAAGGTAGGGCTGGGGCTGCTCACTGGGCACTGCTGGCCTTGGTGCCAGGCTGTGCCTCGGCAGCCACCTCACTGCTGGCAGCACAGGGCACAGCGTGCCTGACAGCCCTGTCCATGTGGCAGGTCTGAAGGCGTCGCTGGAGCGGCTGCAGCTGGAGTACGTGGACGTGGTGTTCGCCAACCGGCCCGACCCCAACACGCCGATGGAAGGTGGGTGTGTGCCGCGGTCCCACAGTCCTTCCTGCCGCCTTTCGTCGCCGTCGCGGTTGGTTTGCGCCAGGCTTGTGTTTCAAGGGCATTTTCCCTCCTGAGCAGAATCCGCTCCTCCGCCACCACGGTCAGTCCGTGCCATGATCATGCCTCTGCCGCCCCCCGCCCGGCGCCAGGACCCCCTCAGGCCATGGTGGGGCGGGTTGGGGGCACGGTGGCAGGTCGCTGCTCCCATCCCAGCAGCGGTGACTCCACTCTCTCTAAATCTCTCTTTTATCACCAGGGGACCCATTTAGTTCCTCCAAGTCCAGGACTTTCATCGTAGAAGGTACTCCCTGCCCGCACTCTGCCCGCCAGCCGCTGCCTGTCCCAGCGGCGTTTCCTGGGGCAGAGCCCTCACTCCTCTGTGACCCCCATCCCTGATCCCCCCTCGAGCAAACCCCGCCGTGAGATGCAGAGGCAGTGGCAGCAGAACACAAACACCCCGTGGCCCTTCCTTCAGACTGTCCTGCAGTTAAAAGGAAAAAAGCAGAGAGGGTCCTGCCCCTCCAAGGTCCTGCCGTGGGACTGCCTTGGCCCATGCCAGGGTCTGTGGCAGGCTCTCTCCTTGCTGGGGCGGCTGTGAGCATGCTGGGGTGTGTGCCCCAGTGCCGGCTGGGCAAGCCCCGTGCCCCTCGCTCTCCCCGCTGCCCACCTTTGGCTTCAGGAGCGCATCTTGGCTTGGTCCCAGCCTGCATGGCTCAGGGCTGGCTCCCCCTAAAACTCCCAAGCCCCTTGCACGGGGTCCAGGCTTCCCTCCCTGGGTCCCCGTGCACGGGCGATGCATCAGTCCCTTCCTTTGCAGCGGTGCCGGTGCTGGTAACCCCACAAGGTGTGGGGCCACTGCCAGGACCCTTGGGCTGCTCTCCATCCCAGGAGAGCCCCGGCACCACCAGCATGTCAGGTTGGCTGTGGTCCCCGGCACATCCTGAGTGGCTGCTCCCTCTGTTCCCGTCCTGCTCCTCTGGACACAACCCAGCTCCCGCCACAGCGCTGTGGGAGCGGGATGCTCACCAACCATCAGCGCGGTGCAAACCCCCTTCTGCTGGTGCAGCCCCTGCTAACCCCTCCCGACCACTCTCTCCTTTCCTCCCGGCAGAGACGGTGCGAGCCATGACCCACGTCATCAACCAGGGGATGGCCATGTACTGGGGGACCTCGCGCTGGAGCTCCATGGAGATCATGGTAGGGGCCCAGGGGACCGGGCAGCTGCAGCGGAGCAGCCCCAGTGGTGCCGCTGATGCTGATTTAATTAGACAGCAGCTTTTGGGAGTGTGTGCAGATGTGCTTGGAGACTTAATCGGTTCTTGGGGCAGCTGCTCAGGGCTCAGCTGGGGGGCTCAGCAGGGGGAGCGGCGTGGCACTGAGGGTCCCAGCTCTTCTGCAGGAGGCATACTCGGTGGCCCGGCAGTTCAACCTGATCCCGCCGATCTGTGAGCAGGCCGAGTACCACATGTTCCAGCGGGAAAAGGTGGAGGTGCAGCTGCCTGAGCTCTTCCACAAGATAGGTACGGTAGTGGAGGTCCCTCCCCAGCCTAAAAAGCACAATGCTCCCCATGCCCCGCACTGCAGAGACCAGGTGCTGTGGTCCCTGAGGGAGCTGGGGGCAGCAGCAGCATCACCCCCAACTCTGCTCTGTTCCCAGGCGTCGGAGCCATGACCTGGTCCCCACTGGCCTGTGGCATCGTCTCGGGGAAGTATGACGGGGGGATTCCCCCCTACTCGCGTGCCTCGCTGAAGGTGAGCCACACCGGGGCCAGGGGGCACACTGGGATGGACAGAGCTGGGGGAGCAGGGCCTTGGGCCTCACAAAGCAGCCCAGGGTGTTTGGGGATGCCCTGCCTGCACAAGGTGCCAGTACACCCCAATCCCCCCATGACGCTCCTTCCTGTTTCCCCAGGGATACCAGTGGCTGAAGGACAAGATCCTGAGTGAGGAGGGCCGGCGGCAGCAGGCGAAGCTGAAGGAGCTGCAGGCCATTGCCGAGCGCCTGGGCTGCACCTTGCCCCAGCTCGCCATCGGTAAGAGGATGGGGGACAGGGGGTTGCTGTGGGTGACACGGGGGCAGCCAGGCCATGCTCAGGCTCTGCTCTCCCTCCTCTCCAGCCTGGTGCCTGCGCAACGAGGGTGTCAGCTCAGTCTTACTGGGAGCCTCCAATGCTGACCAGCTGATGGAGAATATTGGAGCAATACAGGTCAGTGCTCCCAGCGGGAGTGACGTGTGCCCGGAGCGCTCGCTGCTGCACCGCGCTGGGCGGGGACAGAGGGTCGTGAATGTGGCTCCATGACAGGTTTTGCTTGTCACGAAGGCAAGCGGCAGAGACGAGGCTTTGCTGGACTGAGGGGGCAGGGTTGGGCCCGACCCAGGCTCTCCCTAACTGGGTCAGCCAGCTGGCAATCTGGGGTTTGTGGCACAAACACAGCGGGGTGGAGGCGGTGAGCACGGCACGGCCGCGTCCCACTGCCGGCTGCGTCCTCCCACGCGCACCACAGTCACAATCCCAACTCCGTTGTCCCGGCAGGTCCTTCCAAAGCTGTCGTCTTCCATCGTCCACGAGATCGATAGCATCCTGGGCAACAAACCCTACAGCAAGAAGGACTACAGATCCTAAGTGCGCCCGAGCGTGCCGCCTGCCGCGCAGCCCTCGCCGCCCGTTCGCTTGCTTACGCTTTGTTGGAGCAAAGTGGAGAGTGTGGTTTGCACCACGAGCGCCGAGAGCCAGCGCTCCTGCCCGCGCTGCCCCGGACACGGCGCCACGGCTGCTCGGCCTGGCTCTGGGGCACAGGGATGGCCGGCGGGGCCCGCGGGACACGAGCCCCAGCCGCCCGGCCGCCCTGCCTGCAGCCGGAGCCGCCGCGGGGCCCGTTGCATGCGTGGCTCCCGCCCCTGCGTTGCCGGAGGTGGCGGGCGCGGGGTGCACGCGGGTGCTGTATGCCCACGAGGCTGACAACACGAAGCTGTTCCCCAGCCCTCGCCTCTGCCCTGCGCCGCCGGCACCGCCAGCCCGACACCAGCGTCGTGGGGCTGCGGTTCCTGGGGTGGGGGGCAGGATGGGGTGGTGACAGGGAAGGGGTTTCCTGTGGGAGAAGCCCAGGGTGCCCCACTCGAGCGTGGGGCTGGGCTCTGCTGCAGGGAGGGGCCAGGCCAGGGGAGTGTGTGTGGGCGAGTGTGTGAGCGTGTGTGTGGACAGACACACGTGGAGACACGCAGGGACATGGACATACAGACGTACATTTGCAAGCAGCAGCTGTGGAGGTGAACACGGCCCACAGGCACCTTCAGATGTATCTGCACGAAGCTACTGAAATACAGGGGCCTCTATACACACACCCACACCCACTCATGACAGGTGTGTGTACACACACACACAGGTAGGTATGTATGTATATAGATATGTATATAGATATGTACATATGTGTCTGAAAATTACATATAAAATGTACACAAACACCCACGCAGACAGACACGTGTACTTGTGTATATACAGACATACATAGCTCGATGTATAGATCAATATATGTAACTTAAAGATGTGTACACATCCATGTAAATATATTGCTGTAGCAGCATCCACGTTTGTATGGATATATGCACACATATGAAAATTACAGATGCGTACATAAATGTGTATATGCAGATATATGCGTAGATATATCTATACCCATACCCAACTCCATAACTAATACTCATCTTTCTATAAATATATGCTGTCTATATATGTGGAAACAGATATTTGTGATTTAGATATAGCTATATATATATATAGCTATATATAGATACATATGATATAGATATGATATATAGCTATCTGAGATACAGCTATAGCTATGTATATCTATCTCTTTATAGCTCTTTGTGTACTCTGTGCAGAACATTTTTGCCAATACCTATATCTATCCACATACATATAGACACAGAGAGTTCCATCTATCTGTGCACACACAAATATAAAAACTAAATGTATGTGCAAGCCCTCAGCTCTGTGCACAGTGTGTGTGTTTCTCCACTGCCTGTGTAGCCATGGCTGCACCTACAAGCCCCCCATAAATGTGTGTGTGTGCATGCAAACACAGAGGGTCTCTCCCAACCCACACAGGACATCAGAGCTCTCCCTCTCATCATGGCTGGGGTCTGTATGCACACCCCTGCCCCATACACCCTTAACACCTTTGGGGATGTGGATTTACCTGCAGCTGTACCCACACACCTTTATTTATACATCTGTCTACAGAACTGCACTGATGGTTTTGTGCAACAAACACACTCATGTGTGAAATCACAAATACAAATGTGTATCTGTGTAGATACAAATGTGTATCTCTGTATACACGTGTGTGCTATCTCTATCTAGTACAATCTATATACCCCTAGCTGTATCTATATCTACCCCTCTGTATAAATATATAAAAATTACAAATACACGTGTGTGTCTGTGTATATACACACACAGCTATATATCCATACAGAGATATGAAGATATAGAGATATATCTACATATGCATGTGTGTATATATACACATATAAATTACACACATTTATGTATGTACATATACACAGATACATGGATGTGTATATACACCTCTGTAAATACAGATCTATACATCCCTACCTATGTGTAGATCTATGCCTATATACATATATATATATATACATATCTACCCATACCTATATACATATCTACCCATACCTATGCCTACGTATACACACACAACCATATATTTAATTATATATGTACACAAACACACATATTAAAACTACAAATGCATTATTTATACATGTATAATATACATGTATATTATTTACACACGTATCTATATTATATATAGACACACCCACATAGACATAGCTGCAGCTAAACAAATCATTATATCTGTGTACACTCACATAAAGATATATATGCACAAAATATCTAAAAACTTACAGTCCCATGTATATCTACACGTGTGTGTACACAGATCTACACATGCTATATATGAAGAGATACAGTCATATAGGTGCAGGGGATGCAGATGTATGTATGTAAGTTTATGTGCACTCATATAAAAATGACAGTATTTATGTAGATACACACACACCTCTTCATGGATGTCCATCCGTGTTCCACGTGTGTCCATGTGCACAGGGTGTGTGGGAGAGCTGGGGCTGGGGACAGCACAGCTTCTGCCACTGACAGACCCTGTGGCTGTGTGTGTACATGTGTGGGTGTACAGGACTGGCTGCACGTGTGTGGGTGAGCACACGTGTGTGTACATGTGTGTGGGTGAGCACACGTGTGTGTACATGTGTGTGGGTGTGCACACGTGTGTGTTTTGTGTACATGTACGTGGGGGTGTGTACACGTGTGTGCAGGATGACACAGGGACTGCCACTGCAGCCAGACCCTCCCAGGGCCGCCCCAGCCACCCCCCCGCCAGACTCCACAGCATCCTTCCCAAAGGATTTATTAAAACACAGAGAACAGAAACCAGGACACACGGAGCACAAAGCAGATGTGGGGGCGTTGCTTACAGCTGGCGGTGCCACCACGCTCGAGGTGTCCCCGCCCCAGCTCCAGCCATCCCTTCCATCCCACCCGTCCGCCCCACGCCCAGCACACACGGGCCCCCAGCCGTACCCCCGCGGTGCCAGGGCTCCCACGGGGGCAGCAGCAGGTGTGGGCTCACTCAAAAGCAGCGAGGATGCAGAAATGGCCCTCGCGGGGAAGCTGGGGAGCGCAAGCCACCTCAGGCAGCCTGGCATAGCCCGCCAGGACAGCGGGCACCGCCGGCCTCCCTCACCCCACATGTGCCAACACAACCAGACAAACACCGCGACTCCATTCCTCCCTCCCCTCAGCCCACCTCGCCCACACAAACTCTTCAAGTCTTGGAGAAGAAAGTGCAAAAAATGTACACGGACACGAACTCCCGGCCCTGCTGCTCCCGCGGAGGCCGCAGCAGGTGAAGCACACTTGAAGCAGGAGCGGGACAGCCCAGCAGCACCGGTGGCAGCTCATCTTCCACGCAGGCAACGCTGGCACGATTCCCCCACTGTCCTCTGGCAACCACGGCTCATGGCCAGGGGCTGAGGCCTGTCCCCCGGGGCTGCTGTGAGGAGAAGGGAGGGCTGCCCGTCAGCAGCCTGGACCTTCCCTGCCTGCCAACCTCAGGTACCCGGCGAGGTCACCAGGAAGGATCTGCTCCCACTTCCACTGCAGCTGCTCGAGCCAGAGGCAGCAGCCAGACACCAGCACTGGGGGGGGCAGCCCAAAACAGAACCCCCATACAGCCCCCTGCCCCATTGTGTTCCCCAGCAAATAAAGCACAGAGAGCCATGAGTGCAGCCTTACCTCAGCTAGGAATGGGAGCTGCAGGGGAAAATCATGGGAACGGCTAAATATCTGTGGCAAGAGAGGAAACACTTTGCTCACTACTGTCCTTTGGTAATCCTTCTGGACCACCCAAATCTGCCCCCTAAATTCCTCTGCCCGAGAGCAAAACCCCAACCTACCAGTCACGTAGGGTCCCAGAGGCATCTGGCTGTAGTTGACAATCCCACCTGGCCCAGGACCACGGAAATTTGGCCCAAAGTTATTGTTGTACATCTGGGAAGAGCCAAAGGAGCCCTGGGGAGGCAAGGAGGGAGAAAAAACATGGGCCTGCAGTCCTGGCCTTACTGTGACCCTCACAGTGCGGGGCTCTGTGCCTGTCCCCACTGACCTGGACAGTCGGGTCCCCTCCGCGGGTGGCCAGGCGGCTGAGGATGCTCCGCTCTGACATCTGCAGCCGGGCAGCCACGGGCGGGATGCGGGACAGCATGGAGGGCAGGCGGGTCACATCGGCCTTCATGTCACTCAGCAGCTCCTCCAGCTGGTTCAGCACTGTGAGCAGAGCAGGTGGTGCTCAGGGGGGGATGCCCATTGGACCCCGTGAGCTGGGAGGAGCAGGCAGCTCTGGGCCAAGGGAATGCAACATGGGGACAACCTCTTGGCTGGGTCCCCAGGGTCAGGGTGGGGAACCCTTCCTAGCCCGGGGGCAGGCTCCCCCCACTCTGTGGACACGCACCCTTGTGCAGGACGGCGTTGGCAGGTTTGTTGCCAGCAAGAGACTCTTTGGAGAGGTGCTGGTGGCTCTCGGCAAGGCACTCCACCTCTGCTAGCCGCGCGTTCAGTGCCATGGCCGGGTGACTGGGGTCTTGGGTCATGTTGAGGTACGCCGCCCTCCGCAGCTGCTCCTCGATCACCAGGGCCTGCTCCAGCAACTGGGAGGGGCAGGAGGGGAACGATTCACGACCAGACCCCACTCTGGTGTAAACCAGTAAACCTCAGAGCCCCTCACAAAGCCCACTCCCAACTCTGCTCTCAGAAGGCTCTGGCAAACTCTCCCCTGGCTTTGGAGCACCGCTCTGGTTCCCCCACTGGCAGGGACTCACCAGCCCTGGACCTGCCACTCACCTTGAACCGCCGGGCAAGGAACTTGTTCTTCATCTCTAGGTAGTTCCCCTTGTGTATCTCCGACTTGAATGGTTCATTCAGGATCACGTAGCGCGGGTCGTTCTGGATGTCCTGCCAGCGGGCATAGCCATGACTGGTGCAGCGGTAGTGTCAAGGGCACAATCAGCCAGCCAACAGCCTGCCCACCACCCCACAGTGGCCTCAAATCCCCTCCCTGCTTGTCACCACCAGCCCAGCTCCCGCACCCTGCAGAGGCCTCTCTCGCCTCGCTGCCTCCCGCTCCCACCGAGTCAAAGGGTACGTGACAATTCCTGCCAACAGCCAGTAGTCGTGTCGGCGGTGCCAGATGTCATAGATCTTGCCGGAGGACATGGCAGCCCGCTCCTCATTCTGCCACAGCGTGTGCAGCTCTGTGGAAGCAGAAGGGAGACAGCCCTGTCAGGCAGCCGGGCTGAGGTCAGTGCACAGCGCGTGGGCAGGCGAGGATGGAAACTCCCGGGGCCGTGGGCACAGCGCAGAGCCAGCTCTGCTGCTGTCAGCGAAGCACTGGCCCATTCACAGCCTGTGACAGGGCTCACATTTCTTGCACAGGTTCAGAGCTCTGCAGCAGCTTTGCAGGAGAGGCCAAGTCCTCCTCTCTCACTCTTACCTGTGAAGCCACCATCAGCAATGTTGAACATGAATCGGAAGTTCATGTTTCTGTCATCCTTCTTCCCATCTTCCTCTTCCTCTTTGTCACCATTTTGCTGGACCTCTGTTTGCTCCTTGTCCTCCTCCTTGCCATCTGCTCAGCAAACACAAGAAACTGGCCTGCCTAATCGTGCTCCACCACCAGACCCTGTGGTACCAGCCCTGCCCCATCAGCTGCCAGAGAACTCCCTGCTACAGTCACTGCGGGAAAAGCCTCCATCCCCTCTTTGCCCCACAGCAGCAGCTGCCCCTGCCCCTCCTGGCAGGTTGCACTGTTTGCACAGACAGTGCCCACCCCAGTGGGGTCTTGTTCCAGCTTCTGGTTCCCAAGCAGCAGCTGTACTGGTGTCAACAGCGTCCTCACCATCACCCCGCAGGCGCACTCCATCACTGCGCCAGGCACCAGCCTCACCCCAGGGACTCTTCCCACTCTTCTCACTCCAAAGCCTCCTCACACCTCACCTGGTTTGACTTCTTTGTCCTCCCCTTTCCCTGGGCTGCTGCTCAACTCCACCTTCTCCAAAGGCTTCTCTTGCTCTTGAATCCCCTCATCTGCAGGAGGGAATAGGCCTAAAAGAAATGCTCTGCAGGGGACAACCTATTTGTCTGGACACATTTTCCCTTTTAGGGTAAAGTAACTACTGTTGTACATTCAAGGTCCTCAAGAAACTTCAAACAGAACATCCTTCTGCATTTTATCAAGAAAACATTTTTTCTTTTCCTCTTCCTTGAGAAATCTGCAGGAACTTACTGCTAGAAACAGAAAGTGCCCCCCCCAAGTGAACATTTCTCACAATTTACAACCTGTAGTTTCAGGAATTTCTGCAGGATCTTGTGACATTCAGGCTTCCCACAGTGACACAGAGAAGAGCCACAGCCTTACCTTTCACCGGGGGCTCAGGAGAAGGCTCAGTCTTTTCACTCTCCTCTTGCTTCTCTTCCCTCAGCCTCTCCTTGCTGTCACAGCTTTCTGGGTGCTCTTCGTTCTCCACCTTCTCAGCACTTGCAGGCACCTTAACACCAAGCACCCACCTCAGACTAGCCCGGCCCTCCCTTCCCCAGGGAGTGCCCCAAGTTCCTGGGAAGACCAAGGGAGGCTTCCCAAAGGAGATGCTGAACGAAGTCACCTCACCTGGCTGTCAGCCACCTTCCTGGGCTTCTGCTCCACTGGGTCCTTTTCCTCATGGAACCCCAGCTGTGCTTCTATTTTGTCTGTAGGAAGAGAAAAGCCAAGAAGCTGTTGAGCAGGGCCCCCATGGGCTCAGCACCTGCAAGAGATCCTGGTGTCTTTGCCCAC